TAGGCTACAAACACTAACCAACATCCATCTAAACTTTCGCATTTATAATATTAGTAAGATATAGCATATTGACTGGAACAACTAATAATCCAGTTAACATAAGTTGATACAGTTTAGAAATATAAGGAGTTTTTTTAGATATGATTGCTTACGTTCTGGCAAGTCTGGTTATATCTTAGACGCCTTGTGGTCATCGACCTGAGTAAGGAAGGTCGCGAAAGTAGTAGTTTTTCATTCACAAAGATTACAGAAATATTTAACAGATAAAACGGAGATAAAACGGAATTGTTCATTTTAATGTTCTGTTCGTTTTTTTACAACTTTAATAACCAACAACTGAATGAGTATCTGTCGGTGAAAGATAGAAATAAAAAAACAGGGTTTTAATGTAAACTATGCCATGTTAAGTAAAACAAACACATCTTCTAGTAAAACCCTAAGACAAAATAATAATTACTCTAAGGGCAGAATAAGCATCCTTTTTTCCGTATACGAAGTGTCGTAGGAAGGTTGTCTATGAGACCTAATGCGGTCACTTAACCGCGGAAACAAACGGACGTGATAATCTCGATTCCTTTTGTGAATTTGTATCCACAAATATGGATTTTATAACGCAAACAGTATTTTGTCGGTATAGTATTATAGAAAATATTGTATTGTGTAGAATTTGAATTCCAATTTACTAGATTTTATAACATAATAGAATCCAGATTTTAATTTTGTGTAATTACTTACCTTTATTATTGAAAATAATATATAAAATCATGTTAATTTTATCATTCCACTTAACATGTAATTGATATCTAGAAGTGGCGCTCGATTATGTTACCGTAATGTGGTAGCCGTTATTGTAGAATATTAGTTTTCAGAAAATTATTTAACATTTCTTTACCACATTATTCATTTTGTGATATCTGTTGCCCGCGATTTCGACCGCGTGAAGTTAAAAAATAAAGCCTCATGTTACTCACAGATTAATTACCTTTCTAATGGTGAAAGATTTTTTAAATCGGACTAAGTAGTTTTTACGTAAATCGAATACATACAAAAATACAATTCTTTCCTCTTTATAATATTAATGTAGATATAATGACGTTTATTTACTTATCATATATGCAATGGAATTACGGTTTTATTTCAATTATATTATTTTTGCTGTGATGTCATTGATAATCATATAAGAAAGACAATGAATTTTATGCGTTTTGAATTAAAAATTAAAACTGAAAAACTAAACATTGACTAAGATTGTCAACTGTAAATTGAATTCAAGTAAGAAAAAAAATAGGCGCCTTTTGCATAGTAATATTAGAATGCTCTCTAAGAGTTGGTAAAACTCAGCAAGTAATTGCATCCTAGAATTATTACTTATCTACTAATTAACCTTGAACTTGTTCGCAAAACTTTGACTGTAGGTAGGAATAAATTCGATGACGCAAAACGTTATTATAGTGATAATAATAATACAAACACAACACGAATCATTAATAATCTGTTAGTGCTCTCAAGGATAATAAGGTATGCGCTAACGTCATCATATAACTTATTAAAACATTGACATTTTATCTACATCAAAGTTAAAAATAAACTAACAAATAAGTTAATGAAATACAACAAAAATTTATAAAGTTACTAGTGTCTAAATTCCTTTGAAATCTTCGTATAAACTCTTTTTAAATCCCAGCCGACAGTTTATAGCGATTTGCTACACTAACCATTACACCTCCATAACCATTACAGGTCACTCACCTGAAGGTGTCCAGCATTCGGGGCACTCCTGACAGAGAGAAGCCCAGTCGAAGGATAGGTCCTCGAAACTAGCCATCGCTGCGATCAGCTAAAGTGTCGGTCCTCTCCACAGCATATCAGACAGAAAAGCTATCTGTCCACACAAGCACTAACACAATTATAATGTTTCTGTCATTAAAACAATAAATAATGAAGCACTCTTAAATCATATGTTGTCACAAGCCGGCAGTTGAAGTTCGCGCCAAACCGCGTCACATCCCATGCACGATCAGTGTGCACGCGCATACGCAATAGCGGCCGGCGGAGGACTGCGCGCGGTTGCGCGATGGTCGGACTTGCGGCTGCTGTACTCGGGATGTCACTATGAACCTGTTCCTCGGTTCGAGCTAGAAGCGTTCACTCGGCGGATTCGATATTTCGATTTCAATGAACCGTTAACGTTCTTTTCTCGTCGGATGTGTCTTATCTTAACATCAAGCAATGTAACCGCATCACCGATCAGTTTCGCGGCGTCCGTTTTCGCAATTTTTTGTTCATAAATCGATCTGGGCTTGTCCAAAGCTTGTTGTAACGAACTTTAAATATTTTACTTCGATTTGAATTCAACGCACGTCTACGAGCCGTTAAAACTGACCGTCCTTTATGCGAACCCACGCTCACTTTGACTGCGAAAGGCGCACCTCGTTTTAGCAATGTCCTAACGATATATTTACGATTTTCAAAAGTTATCATATAACTTTACTAATAAACAAATTTCTAATTTATACTAATTATGAGGTAAGGTACTTTGCTAATCTTCCCAAATGATTCCTGCAAAAGACAGTAGAAAATCTGCTCGTAAAAAAATAATGTTTGCTTTTACATAATGCTTACTGACAAACTAGTATAGAATATAGGCCTTCTGGCATGGTTCGGGAATGGTTTGCCATAGCGTAGCATGTTATGGCTTAGTTTGACAAGGGATCGTACATCTCAGCAAAGTAACGCCACACTAAAATATTACTGAGTAAAACTGATCGTTAGTTGAACTTTTTTTTTGGTACATTCTCGCTTGACAATAATGCCTAATTTAATACAAGTAATATTATACACAAAATAAATTATCGCTTTCCAGTATCAATTCATTTCTATTCGATCAGAATGTAAAACATAATCGTTGGAAACTCAAGAGCTGACTATAATAAATTAGAATGCATCTTCTATGTAAATGCTTGCTCAATTTATATTTCGCATAAATATGGAATCGGCCCGCTAATTGGCCTGTCGTCGCTTTACGCAGTTGCTAAAGCAGAAAGCGGCAAGTCAATGTAATATTACGTCAATAAATTAAAAAAAGCGCATGTTGTCTATATTAAAAAAAAAACTACTTACGCACTATTAAATTAAATTGACTTTTAATTTAAGCATTTCTATTACTTTCAATTCCTTTAATACCTCTAGGAAATTTAGCAATTCTTTTCGGATTTTAACATTGCAGATTGAATTACACACAGTCCAAAGAAAAAACAATGTTTATTAAAAACTATGAATATCAGATAAATATAAGACGTCGTCCTTGAACTGGTATGACTGAATGTAACAACACAACGGCCGGACAGACGGACTTGTATAACTCGAGGTGGTACACTTAATACACGCAATTGCACGTAGGAACACGTACTTACGAAGTTAATAGGGCATGCTGTCTCATCTTTCTTAAGAGGCCAATGACGGTAATAATTGTATTATGTAAAAAGAAAATTTCATCATCAAACCCATTAATATGATTTCTTTAAGTAAACGTTATCACTTGTACACGAATATTCGACAATTTGTGTCGTATAAATTGTTTATTAAAAAAAACATTGAATAATCAAACGAAAATGTCAACAACACATGATATTGTTACTAATCAAGGTCACGTTCTATTTTATTATAATCTGGTATGTTGAGTAATTGGAAGTTTTCACTGCTGAAACAAATGGACAAACTCATATTGACTGTTTTTTCATACAGAATAGACGAAATAACTAATGTTATAATTCAAATAGTATTTATTACAATATAACCTAAATCCTTTCGATTTACTCGATAATAACAAACTATAATCGATTACTGTTAAATCGAATAGGAAGAATCGATTGCGACCTGTGAAATTACAATAACCTTACAATAGGTTTCCAATGCAGTGTTACTTGTATACGTATTATCATTTCTTACATTCTGTTGGAAAAAACTAAAACATGTGTCAATACAAGCTGAGATAGAGAAGATATTATCAGTAAAATATGTTTCATGGCTAGATACTAAGGTCTACATAACGTGTGGTAATATATATATCTATACCACGAATCTATACTAATATTTTAAAGAGGAAAAATTTATATTTGTGGATTGTTGTATATGTTGAAATAGCTCATAAACTACTGGGCCAATTTAAAAACTACACGCACCATTAAAAAGCTATGTTATCACTAAGTAACATAGGCTGTGTTTTACTTTTTTTTTAATTTCAGGCGCACGACATCGCAAGCAACAGCCAGTGTTAATATAATAAACGAAACTTACTTGCATCAGTTAGCGTTACCCAAATTATCTTCATAGTCCCTAGTTACACGAAGTATGAACTAACGGATTACATGTACTGAAACTCCTATTAACAGAGTATGTCAGATAAGGTCTGTGTGCCAATGTATTTAGTAACATTGTGTTCATAGCAGGCTACTACATTACTACTTATGTAACATAGTGGTAACACATATGAAGTAAAAATATAAATATGAAAACAATTACTAAGCTCTGTTAATGTAACCTTAAAAATGGGGAACCAAAATAAATTACAATTATTATTCAGTTGTTTTCTGTTCTCTTACAACCTTAAAAATAATCGCGGTATACAGTTAAACATGGGAGTTAACTGAGTGTAAGGAAATATTAGTATTTTGGCTTATTTTTAAGGTAATATAAATAACACTGCATCAGGTAGATTGGAATAAAAATCCCATTTAACTCTAAAACGACCACGAACATCCGCCAATCAATATTTATTTCGATCAATGTCTTAACAAATAAACTTATAAGAGGGTTACTTTTTACAGCGTATTTCATGTTCGGAAATAGGACATGGAGGGATTAATTTGGATGTCATTCAACCCTTATTCCCTACTTAGAACTGAGGAAAAAGCACATAAATTCTATTAATTAAATAGTTCAAGTAAGACTATGAAATTAAAACACATTTATGGGAATTTTAAAAATATTTTATTCACTACTACTACTCTAAAACGAAGACGTCAGCTTTTTGAACAGTATTGAAGAAATAATCAAGATTGTTGTACCTTATTTGGGCACAATTAAGTTGTATCTGAAGTATAAATTGAGAAAGTATCATATACCTGTCAGTTTAGATAGCCGATAGTCAGTCATTGAGTTACCGTAACCGTAGGCTTATACCAAAATCGAAATATCGACACATAACAGTGTGTACGAGCATCAGGCTTGTTCGTATTATGTTTTTACCGTTGCCGTGGAGGGTTTTATTCTTTTCATTCAAAGTCTAGGACCTAGCTTTTTTAATCGTCCCAATCTTTAGTTCTTTCTTCTTCCATAAACACGTCTAACAATCTTCGTTGAACAATTAGTTTTCTACATCGGGGCACTTCTGTCAGGTAAGGTAGTAAACTCATCAAAAAGTTTCGATCAGGATCTTCGGTTAAACTATAATTCCGTCTATGCTTAATAGATTCATGTTTCGGTTTTTCAGCATCTACAGGTTCTTGGTCCACGTCAAGATTTCTTTTTTTCGTTTTACATATACAGACTTGTTTAACAGGTTCGCGAAATGATTGTTCTGCCAATGAATTCTTTACTGAAATTATTTGTGCTGACTTCGATTCCGATAAAGTTCCGTCAAACGGCGACGATGCTCCGTTATCTTCAGAGACATCGTCATCGGGGCTATCCACTTCTGACGGCGGAGGACTCTGACGGTGTTCTCGCATAGATTTAGGGAGAATTTGCTTGGCTAAAAACAATAATTTTTCGTAATACGACCAAGAAGAAGTTTTAATAGTAGCCACTGTGTCTGATTTTCCAGGTTTATTTAATCTAACATACTCTTTGCGGAATTGGTCTCTCAAATTATTCCATTTCTTTTTAACATTTTCAACAGACATATTTAACTCCGATGCAACTTCATCCCATAGTTGTTTTGATTTGTATCTGTTATTATGACTGTCGCAATGTCTGTTCCATAGTGCTGGCCTTTTGTGAACACAAACTATTAATTGATCGACATTCAAACGGCAAAAATAGGTCATTTCGAAAAAAATAATCAAGTATACACAAAAAATTTACACTGTAGGATCTTTAATGTGAAAAGTTCATACGTTTATGTACGAACACGCCACGAACGGCCGGCAAACTGCAGACTTGCCGACAAATCCAAACATGTCGCAAACGTTATCTATGATCGTCGGGCGTTGTCGGACAAAGCCGGTATAAAACGCTGATGCAGGCGCTCTCTTTTATTCACATGCCTTACGTTTGTATCGGACTCACGAGTTCAACCGATGGTGTCCGACTTTTTTAGCTCAGTCAGTTCGTACGACACTGCTATCGGAGATATACGAACCGAGGCGCATTGTACGATATAGTTGTAGATACTCTCAAGTCTCAAGTTCCCTGCAACCATTTACGACCGGACGGTAAATGGTATGTTTAACCGTATATATCTATCTAATAAAGAATTGTACACTGCTAATGCTAAGCTTTTGGTGTAAAATAGTTTCAAGCATTATCTTTGCATTAATGCGAACTCTCGTGTTTGAAGCAAATGATGCTTAGAAATGTTTAATAACCAATCCTACCAAGTATTACCATGAATGCGATAGTCATACAATGATTAGAAGCTTCCCTCCAGACGAAGTAATTAATAAATTTATGAAAACTTTTTAAATAAGTTGACTTCAAATTAACTGATATACTTGTATTTCTTTATTGATATGTAAATAATACTACCAAGAATGTTTGTACTCTTTATTATATTAAAAATAATAAATATGTCTTCATTCACGTTGTCTTCTTCCCAACGGAGAGGAATCCTGTAGTATTAGAAAAGTATTTCGCATTGGCTTCGTTGCCACGGGTCTCTGCTGCTTGAGGATTTACAATTTCCAAGCCCTGAAACAAAAGGAAGCCTTTTAATATGCATAAATTTTCTTATACATCAATACGTGGCGCAGTATTCTCCTTGTAATCTAACATAATCCTAATACAATAACAGATTGAAGAAAAGAATTTCTTTATTAAATACTATTACCAATATTCATAGATAACGATGAAACAATGAAGAACCCTGGAATAAAAAATCCCGTATCAAAACAATATTCAAGGGACCTGTAATGTAAGCAATTTCTATCGGGGGTAAACGACATCTTGCCTTAGTGTGCATACCGGCCTAACGAGATCGCATCGCAGCGTGATAGATCCGTGGCTGTTGGCCTTGTCATTCCGTATTATTATTACCTGTTACGTTGGCCGTGATTAGACCGAGAGCGCCGCGACACCCCATGCCGGCTTAATGACTGTTCATTTCGTTTCTTGCGGATGCCGAATGACATTACGATTTCTGTACTTAATAGTCGGTTGTCATTAACATCAATAGAACTTTAAACTGTTTGTAATAGCTACTGTTAACAATTTTATTTTTATCACGGCTTTATAGCTAGGTAACCTTGTTTCTACCTAGTCACTCTTCTTATAGTGAAGTATTAAAACAAATTGGACATATAAAACAACGGATCATTCTCCACTTTTTCATTATTAAATTACAGAAAAATCAGTAGAAAGTTTGATTACGGAAGCAAACATTTAACTACAATAATAAAATAGCTATCTCTTAATTCATTATCAACGTAGAGAAATATCAGCATGTTTTTGTTCGATTAGCATAATTGAAATTATGATATCATCATCGTTTGGATGTCGTTAGTTCAAGGCAAATGTCAACATGGAAATATCTCTAATCTCATCATCGTTTAACTTTCTTGTGAAAGTCTATAAGAAGATGAAATATAAAATGCCAGTATTTTTAGGAAATAAGACCTAGAAAGAGATGGATGGATTGCGTTAAATGTGACATGATCAAAAAGGGAGTGATGACTGAGATGACGTATGATAGAGTTATGTGGAGGACAAAAACCTGTTGCGCCGACCCTACAGGGGTAGGATAAGAAGAAAGATAATGATGTTTTTTAGGAAATCATGAATAGTGTATTAAACCATAGTTTAGTTAGCGACAATATTGACATAAACTTAGTAGTCTTGTATTCAAAGCCGTATAATTTATCAACCATCTGAACGACAGCTCTGCTCTTTAGCAGAACTTCAAATCAGTTTCATACATTAACGACAAAATTTAATAAACTATGCAAAAACAAACTAGATGCGAGTATTAGTCATCGCGGCTACAGTTTATGGACAAATGGCCGCACCTTCAACCTTTTCAAAACAAGGTAACATTTAGCAGAGTCGAAGCTATTAAAGACACGATCAGAATGTGGGCTGGTGACTAGTGCAAGACAGTGAAATATGCGGCCATTACGCTTCGCCAGAGATTAAGGGTCAAAAGATTATCGGCAACGCCTTTTTGGTTTGCGGGATATATCACGGGAATCTTGGATCTACACCGTTAGGAAGAATAAGCATAGAGTAACATTAATTTCATTACACATGACTCACAGATAGATGTATAAAAACCTATGTTAATCTTAAAGTATGTATTTTAAATTAATGTATAATACATATTTAAGTTGTAATATTTGTATAGGGACAAGGCAAATTTTGTCAATTGTAGGAAATGAGAACGACCAACTACAACCAAAATCCATATACATTGTGTATGTCATTATTGTAAAAAATACGACTAGATTATGGTACTCGTTATAATCAAATAATTTCAAGATTTTAAAAACTAACAAACATCCACTGAGGACGTAATGTCTAAAACTAAAATAAAATTAAGTAAACCCCTAAGATCTGCAGTTTTCCTTAGACTGTTTCACTATTACTGCATATCTTACACCATTGTATGGAATATACGTATTCATGTCGGTAACTAAAACCTCATATTATGCGAGGGAAATCTCTATACATAGCAGAGTATAACGGTTGCAATCTAACTGCAACCGCTGGGCAGAGGGATAATAGCCCCTGCACTATAATAATGGCATCTCGTCCCCGCCTTGCACGATAGTTAAATATCAGCAGTTAGTATTTAAATCAACTAGCTCTATTCGTAAGGATGTTACGATATACCGTTGCATCGATACCGATGGAATGTATTTTATCGACATCGTAAATGCAGTATCATCCCATCACTAGTTACAGAGTAAAGCAAAGCGAAAACTGTTACGGTCCAGTTAAGTCCTAATCAAGTAAGTTGGGTGGTCTCATGGTGAGTAATTAAAAACAAATGTGGAAACCCGGGTGCCTAAACCTCTCTTGTTGAAACGATCAGGATGTCTATTATTGTGATTTATGATAAAACAGGTGGAGAAATAAACAGTAATCTTGTCGATTATACAAATTTAAATAACTTGAAAAACTGGATTTTTTATTTTAGGCAATGACTAATAGTGGGTGTATCGATAACATCATAACAAACCTTCGAGGCCACGTATTAACATTTTCACAAAATTTAATACTTTGTAACTTGTTTTTATTTTCACGTCATGACTAATATGTAGTCAAAAACATCAAGAAAACCATATTATAACTAACTGTTCCCCTGCGGCTTCATCTGCATTATAAAAAATGTTAAAATTGAAAATGTCAAAATTACCGTTACCATAATAACCTTGCTTCCTTAATGTTGGCAACTTGTAGTTTATGGTTCCTTTCCCACATAAAAGGTTTCTTCCAATATATTTACCTCCTATGTTTACTAGCGTGAAAATATATAGCCTAAAGCGTGTCGTATGTGTAGGGCTTTTTATTTGAGAAGGAATTATTCAAAAATATGCTGTGATTGCTGACATCCTACGCCACGAAGTGTGTGTTTACGCTTTATTATATTATATTAGTATAGATATAGATGAAAATGGTAGTAAACATTAAAATATTTACTGTCTGGTGTATTTCCTGTATTTACTATTACAATTCTCTAAACGTATTTTAAATAACAAATACTAATAAGGAAAAGCTCATCAAAGTGACTTATAGCTAGGGCTTGAAACGGTTTATCGTTTCACTAGATCATTAAAATAGATATGAGTTAATGTAGCAAATAATATTGGCAATAAATCGCGACCGCGACACGGCGCAAGCTAATCCAGACTCGATCGGGACGTATCTTCAGCATGGTAAACGATGTCTAACGTTAGTCCTATCACACAGCGGTAGCGAAGCGATCACAGAACTAACAGAGCCCGTATCAAGTAGAACTATTGCATATACGAATTTGTCGCAGCCAAAGCGAGTTTCCTGTTTTATATCTGTTCTGTTTCTTCGTAGAGGAACATCCTACGTCGCTAGTGTTTTGTTTCCCATTCGCTTTTGCTGTTGTGTACTACAGTCATTAACATTAAAGCGAAGGGCGTTGCCATTCCCATAGCACAAATAACAAAGGCGATGTAGACGGTGAAAGTACTAACCAGATCTTCTGAAATACCAATAGGCTGGTACCACGCTCGCCTGTTCCATGCAACTTGTAAATGATTAGAGATAGGGCTGTCGTCCTATCTTGTATTTTCTGTAAAACTATCAATATTGATCCGTGCTAATATTTCAAACCACCATATTGAACAAACTTCAAAAGCTAGCGAAATATTGTTGCTGTTGCCGGAATTGATCTGGCATAATCTATGGAAAAAAGATCACAATTATATTTACTTGAAGGACTTCTTGTTTTGGAAAAAAATATGATCATTCATTGATTAATGTTACCTACTTTCTAGTAACTTTTTCTAATTTGACACATGATTATAAATCCTTTATGTAAAGCCCGCTATACACACAGTTTGAGCTGAACGATCGAACTGTTCAGATAAAACTGAGCGTGTGTAACTTACTTAACTGGAATGTCAGTAAGTCAAATTAAAAAAAAATGTTTTGTTTTGGATTTCCCTATACGAAAACCCTACTGCACCTTTAAACACTCAGAATTAATGGACGAGGGCTGAAAATAAATGCAGGTGCTAGCTAACACAGTATATCGTGGATTTCTATAATTTGCTAATAAAATATAGGCTACATAGAATTATAACACGACTATTAGATTTGCGTAAAACATTTCATAAAACGTTCTTTTTTCCTCATAAAAGTTAGTCACATTTCATGTATTTTAAAGTAATAAAATATCATCAAGATGGAGAAAAACAATTATCCAGCTAAAATCGATATTCCTTTAAATTTTACATTTCAAAGGTTTTTTACAATATTTTTTCCTGTATTCATTTTTTATTATATGAATGAAAATTTTAAATTAAAAAACAGTATTTTTTTTATTTTATTATTAAGTTAAAGTGACAAGAACTGACCAAATTAAAATGGCTAGAGAAAGTTTAACGTAGTGAAAATTTCAGCAGTGAATGTTACTAATAAAGGAAAATATCACGTGGAAAAAGTTTGCGAGCTCACGATAAGATGGCTAAAAAACTACATGATGTAAACATCGTCACTTTCATCGTGGGTCAACTTTCTTATATGAAATCTGCCACGTAGAAAATCAGCAACATTCAATTGTTTTCAAGCCGGCATTTTGTTGATAACATATACAAACTAAGAAACATTTTTATAGCGGTAATAATAAGTGAGTAACAAAATGAAAATAAAGGCAAAATATGTCACTAGTTATCAAACGCGACTCTATCTGCGCCGATTAAAAAAAATAATTAGTAGACTATTTGTTCTCCCAAACTATGTTACGTTTCTCCGTCTTGAAGATATACGTAGTAACAATTCATCTATCTAAACTTTCACATTAAGGACCTGTTCCACCAAATTGTAAATTGTCTTACAACAATCCAACGTGTAAAGTATGTGATGGAAATATCGGATTTTGTTCCCTTATCTGACAGTGACGTCATTTTTAAGCTATCTGAGCTTCTATCAGCCAATGGTGGGACAGGTCCTAACATTAGTATGAGTATGAGGTATGACCAACCAAAGGTAATCTTTTCGCATCTAGGGTTGGTCTAGTAAAGTACCCTGTTGGCGTACTTCCTTTAGTCTTGTCAGTTTTTTGTTAACCTAAAATTGACATCAATCGTCGTTTGACACACGTTGTGTCGAACGATTTGCGATTATCACCGGAAGTTATTGTGCATATATTTTTGTGGCGTAACGTCGTGCGAACATTTCCGCGTCTTCTTACAGGAGGAGTACTATGGTAGTCCAAACATCTTATTTCTTCTTTGTTTTTTTTTTTTATTATTTTATGGAGAGAAGAATGCTTAACTTGAAGGTAGTATCGGAATCATCACACCTAACACATTTAATGTTAGCTGCGCCCTCCCTAAACCTACTAAGATGTTCGGCTGGCGATGCCAATAGTATACTTTTGTGGTAATAGGTCAGAATATGAACAATTCAATTTCATTACTTTACAGGACAAACAATTAAATTACTAAGAAATTAAGAAGAAAAAACATATAATTTGGATATAGTTTTTTATGTCATAATGTGGCAAACAAGCAAGCGGCCAACTGAATCAGCCAAAATGATGTAGCTAACACCATAGACATTCGCAATAGCGGATGCGTTGCCTACCCTTAATCAACGGAGGAGAAGACGCACATAGAAGAGGATAGTTATCCTGATATGTCCAAATAAAAGAGCATTTTCAGCGATTATATCTATACTAATAAGTCATACTGACCAATAATGTACTCATCATTGTCTATGATCACAGTTTTAAAACTATCTATGAAGCTTCGAGTGGATAATGTCTAAAATATAATTTTAAGACGTAAAATGATACACCTTAATTTTCTTATAATTTCTATAACATATAACGTAATCATTAATTTACCATCACTATTGTACTTAAACGATGCATTGTTTCGTGTTGAATATTTTAGAGGCGCGCACAAGGAATAGATCGATATCCGATAATTACGCCTCGGGATTCTAATGCTGTAGAAATCTGAACATGTTTTAACGCCAATGTAACTTTGTACTTTAAAATAACAAATGAATATAGAACAGACTAATAAAAACCAGAGACATTTATCTTTGTTACAAATGCAAGACTTCACACTATTGTTCAAAGAACAACTATTAGAATAGAATCAACACGGTACAAAATATTTTCATAGACAACACATATAAACGTTTTAGGCGGTGCCGTGTGATAACTGTTACGTTATTACTTCGACAATAGAACTTGTTAGTGAGTACGACACCGTTTCTAACAATACTTAACCCGCATTTATGTAACTCGAAGTATTTTTTTTAGCAGACAATTCATTGATATCTTTATAAGAATCAAGGCGATAGCAATTATCTTGTACACGCGTGATAATTATATGGAACATATTCTTTTCGCTCTACACCCACATTACATATAAGAAACAAAGCGATATTTAAATCGATCTATTATAGACTAGCTTTCGCCCGCGACTCCGTCAAAACAAAAGTGAGTAGCCTATATCTTCTATATGAATATCCTCTCCATCTACACAAAATATAATCGAAAGCCGTTCAGCCATTTAGGCTACATACTCTAACAAACATCTATCCATCCATCCATCCATCTAATCTTTTGCATTAAATAATAATAAAAAACAAGAAATAATATTAGTATGAAGTATGATTGGCTACTAAAATTTGGTACAAAATAATTTGTTCAAAGCAAGTACTTAATGTGAATATGAAATAATATTTTATGGGTCTAACCTGCAAAGGTGTAAAGGCCACTGACGACGCTGTTCCCGACACCTGTCTTCTAATACTGGTAGCTCCTCCGTACTGCTGGTTTTGTTTCTGCAGGTTCTTCTGTAAGGTCTTACTGATGCGGACCTTCGTCTTCTCGTCTATCTGCGGCAAGCGCACGCGTCCTGTGCTTGACTTGCCGATGGTACCACGGGTGTAGCCTAAATCTTCTTGATACGCATCATCTTCTATCTGTTAGGCAATAGAAAAATGTAATATTTTAATAGCAGTAATAACTCTTCTTAGTTATCTGTAATTATTTATCTACATTCTACTATTGATTTCTTTTTTTACATCTTGCCAAACGAGCAATCTGTCACCTGAATCCACGAAAACGTTAAAACGACCGCCTGCCCATAGCCGTGCCCAATTGCAGATTTGTTGCCTACCAATAATTGACGGAGGAGACACACTTAAAGAGCATATTTCTCCTCCTGTGCGTCTCCTCCTCTGTCTAAACCACTTCTTATAAGAATTGGAAGGGAAGGGGTCTAAAATTCGGCTTCCGGTAAATACAATTCTTAAACAATTTAAAAAAGTGCTCTGCTCTATAAGCATACACAAATATATTTAAAAAATGTCGACATATACAGTTATGGCATTTATAAAAATGTAATTAAATATGATGATCCATTTTTCCACGGTCTAACAATGCACAGATTAATGTTAGATTACAGATCGGTCTCTTCATTAGTGCTCACACAGCACTTAATGAATTGAACGCTAAGTGCATTTCACACGACAGATGCATAATTATTTTTAAAAAATATGGTAACATATATTTATAATAACCGGTGTAGATGCTCTGTCCGCTTTTAATTGAGGTTATTAGGTCCCGAATAGTGGGCTTGTTGACTCTGGGTTCAAATTTTAGAAAGTTAGTTAAAACGTTAGCTTATATCCAACACGTTCAATGTCACTATGACTTTACGTATGTATTAAAGGGAACTCTAACTTGAGGTATGAGTTAATGTCGGCAATTGACGTGTTAAAGTTTAACATTACTTAAGTTTTATTAGAAATATCCATTTAATAGATATAAAGTATAAATTGCTTGCTAAACTGGGATACCAGCAAGTCTCGAGAGACTATTTCACAAAAAGCGTAATATATGTTGCAAAGATAAAAAAATATCAATAGAATAAAAATATCAAATAGAAGAATTTACGGACCTCATCATCTCCCATAACTTATCCTACTCCCGTAGGGGCGACGCACCGGGTATTCATTCTCCAGAAATCTAGAAAAACTCTATCATCCGCCATCTCATTCATCACTGCCTTCTTAGTCATGTCACCTTACACACAATCCATCCATCACGTACGGACATCAATTAATAAAATTCATCACAAATTAATAAATAGTACAACGGTATAGTTACTAAATAAAATTATTATGTATTGGATATTCGTAGTATAGAAATCTAGCAACAAACACAGCTATGAAGACGATCCTAGTTACCGGGTTACAGAGAACAATCAAATGTAATCGGTACAGACTCATCATATTTTTGCTAACACAAAGAAACTAATCATCGAATTATATCCCATAATTACTTCGCGTCAAAACGAATTAATGTTTTTATTGTTAGAAATACAATAGGATACACACGGACTGTACGATTGAAAAATAAATATTGCAAAAAAAATTAATGCCATACGAGAGAATTTTATGAACAAACAACACATATTAGCTCACAAGTATATTATGCCCAACATACAATTACTGAATTTCCTTTTAAAAATACTAAAACCTTCATTTTACAGTACTAAATAAAAACTTTCGTTAATCAGAGATAATAATTTGTTGACTGAATGTTCGATAAACTTAGCATCAGTGTGTCACATATGAGCAATGGGGCCAGAACGGACGTCCGCGCGCTTCAACAGCTCGCAACTCGGTCTATTTGGTTTCCTCGAACAAAAACTAAACAGGCCACTACAATCGTTTGAAATATCTCGTGTGCCGTAGCCTGCCGAGCGTGACGTCACATTTTTAGTATTCCTGCGCACTCTGCAACGGTCGGGGGGAGATATCGGTAATCATTACTGTACATACTAATAAGCATATCGTGTAGTGCATGATTTAGCGGTTACGAGGCGTTGCAGGCAAAAACTTCATATGCATCCTAGTTGTATAATACACACTGTTGTCATGGTAAGATGACTGCGATGTGAATCGATATAGAAGTAGGACAGCGAAAATAGTCTTAATTACGTAGTCCTAGTAAAAATTCTGATCGGAATCTACATTTATTTTTTACAATAACTATTTTTATAAATTAGACAAGCTTTAGCCCCTATCTCCGTCCGCGTGGAATTCAAAATACAAAAGTGAGTATGTATTCTTCCATACTGCTCTGCATCTATACTAAATTTCATCGATAATAGTTCCGCAGTTTACGCTAAAAACTAACAAACATCATTCTAAACTCTCGTATTTATATTAGTAAGAAATAAGACGAATGAAGATTTAAGTCGATGTTTCAACCTGTGAGGTCCGATGTCCTCTTAAATGATTTACGCAATGTTCGGAGAACGTAAATGCGTCAGAAAACGCAGTTGCATGTCGCGAGCATTTCGTGTATGATAATACCAAATACGACACGCGATAACTTGCGTATACTTTATACACGATATCGTTATGACATCTACGTAATATACCTTTACAAGCGTAATTCTAACCTTTGTTTAATCATGGTTAGTTATTGATAAGTTATAATTATTATTATTTCAATTATTTAAGGGACTTTCTATATACAACAAATTAAACATCTATAAACAATACGTGGAAACTGACAAAACTGTTATATTCCTTGTATATGTCCAGTCGGAGAAACTGGTGTTCCATCTTAAACGCTACAATCGTTTGAATTTTTTTATACGAGACGCGGATTCAATACAACGCAGTTCATAAATGTGTTTGTACGAAAAAGTCGGTTAGTAATACTCAGTTTGTTACTTTTTAATCCCATCGTTTGCACTCATTGCTATTTGATTAGTTATTTATTACGAGGCGGAGTTTGTCTCGTTGTAATGAACAAGGCAAGTTACCTAAAGTGTAGCACCGCGAAATTCCGTGACAGTACATCAAAGGATTAAGCTTTTAATTGTAAAAATAGATTTCGACGGGTGCCATTTTAGGATATAATTACTTACATGTAATATATCCAGAATAGATGATTTTTTCTGCGTCGTAAATAAACGATGAAATATGCAGATTTATAGTAATTTAAATCTAAAACCCGTCTGAAAATTTTTCAATTTAAATTATTGTTATAATTTGTTTCTATGCTTTTTTCCAAAACCTTCAGATGGCTCTCCTGAACATTTGACCTGGCGCTTAATACAAATAGCCTTTCACTTATCGATTTAATTAAAAAAAAATATAACGTTACACTCACGTCAGCGAAGTTCAATCTGTTGGCGTTCTTCCTGAACTCAGTCATGGCGTACCTCTCCTTCATCTTGCGCACGCGCTTGCCGCCGCGCTTCTTGCGGCTCTGCTCTATCGGCTTCGGTAGTGGCTTCACAAACTTTACCGGAGGTGGTTCCTTAAAGAAAAAAAATAGTACGAATTTGAATTTCATTGATTTATCAATTCAGAGGTTATGTTCATTAATTTGGATAAATCTAATATATTTATATTTTATACTAGCTGTTGCCCGCGACTTCGTCTACGTAATATTAAGTTTATAAACTAGCCTATAATATGCCCGTCTATGTCAGCTACCAGACAGACATCGTCTTCCCGATGTCTGAATTTTTCTTTTGATATTACAGACACTCCAAATTAGAAGTAAATGTGAAGTGAATGTGTCCAGATTAATGTGAAGTACTAAATTTGAGCTCAGATTTTCAAATAGCAAAAATGTAAATCTAGGTCAATATTCTATCATTTTATTAAAATTTTATTAAAATTTACCTGTAATTTATCGAGTTTCTTCTCAATTCCCTCTCGTAACATTCTTCCGATATGTCCATCTGTACTCTCGTGACACGCGTCGACCCTGGCGGCGAGGGTCAGCTTGGTTGAAACTAACTTTGCCGCTTTGTATCTTAACTCCTACAAGAAAAGTATTATTTAATACTAGCTTTCGCCCGCGACTCTCTCTGCGTGGTATTAAAAAAGTAAGTAAGTAACCTATGTGGTTACCTAACTTTGTTTTTTTAATACCACACTATGCTCTTCCAGGCTATGCTCTACATCTATGGCAAATTTCATCGAAATCCGTTCAGCCGTTTAGACTACAAACTCTAACAAAGATCCATCCATCCATCTAAACTTTCACATTTATTAGTATTCGCGTTAATTAGTTTGAGTATGAAGTATGATATGATTAGAACTGTTTGCTGTATTTCATATAAACACTCTTTTACAGTTATTCAAAATGAAATGAACTAAGTAAATGAATACCATCATTTACTTAGTTCAACTTAATTTTATTATACAGCCGAGACAACCAAATTTAAAAAAAAGTAGCAGCTAGGAATATATAAAAATATGCACAAGTAAACTTGGGTCATATGTTACATGGCGAACATTCACGCCGTAACACTGCATACTAACTGTAGGAATGTTCGCCATGTAACATATTACCTTACAACCTCAGTCAGCAATTATCAAAATAAATACTTACAGGTGTTGTGTCTTGTACTATTTGTGAGAAATAAATGAACCCAGTGTGTGGCAGAGCAGCGGCTTGTGAGAAACCAGATAATGTTTTCTTCTGTTGTCCTAATGGCAACACATTACACGCTGGCATCTTTGATAGTTTGGACAAACCGCCAGCAACACCGAGTATCTTGGCCGCTGTTGATGCTCCTAAAATATAAATTTATACATCACAAGTTAAATCTTAAAAGTTGAAAATTCTAATGTTTGGTAGTTTTCAATTATTTAGAATCTGTGTAAAATTAAGACTGCAGTGACAAAGAGTTCTAAACACAACTTGTATTTAGTAATAAATGTCTATTATTCATAAAACATTGTATTTTAAAAAAGCGATTTTCTTAAAAACCAGAATTGAAATTAGAAAGTAATAAAAAACCTACCAACAATCGCAGTAATATTAGGGGCAATAAATGTCATTCTACTCTCAACATATTCGTAAATCTTCGACTTGTAATGATTTAAATCACCCGCCATTTCACATGCTTCATTTATTTCTGTCAATTCATTATCCATCAACAATTTTCTAGAACAAACAGGGTTATACATAAAATGAACATTTCATAACAAAACTTTTATATATACAACCTCCCAAATGCTTTTAGAACATGCTAATGTAGATATCTCTAGAAAAACTGCATAAATCAGGATGAATTTGGCAAAGATAAAAACACTGCCTGTACAAACACAAACACATATGTTACTTAACTGGCTTCTTTCTTATTATGCTAAGACAGAGTAGTTCTATTGGGATGATAGAAGATGATAATTTAAAGCAGCTATAAGCCTCAGATGCAGGAAAGAATTATCAGATAAACTAAGGCATATTCATTTTTGAATACAAAGTTAATAAATTACTTAATAGGTATTTAATTAAACTCTTACCCTTGTGTTGTTGATGCAGTCACAGATACTATCATAATAGTGGCCTGTGTGAGAAAACTTTGTAATATTTCATTGTTTTTAGCTCTGTCCAAATCATTTCCGAGTTCTTTTACAGTGCGTATATACTCAAGTGGTGTGATGATCAGAGACTCTAACTCCGGAAATCTTTTCTGATATTTATCCCGAACAAATCTGTGGATAATAGCTGGAAAATGAAATTATTCACCTATGTATATTTAGTTTATGTTACTCATGCTTGAAATATTGTATATTTTCTTAAAATACTACTAAATTCATTCAATACTACTAATATCTGCAAGTCAAATTATATGGTACTTAGTTTGTATAAATTAATTTAATTTAATTTATGGTATCATTTATGAATGTAACTTTCAACCTACCAATTTCTCCGTCAATTTCAGCTGCAATATTATTTGCTTCCACTATAAGTTGATACTCTGGATCTGATTCCATAAGTCCTGTAACTTCGATTTTTTTTCTGTTATTTCCATGATTTTGTTCTATTTCTGTTACAACCTGAAAAATAAAGTTTATACAAATTAAAACATATATTGTGTTTTGAGGATATGAACACTAAACTCATAAGTCTGATTAAACTTTTACCCGCTGTAAACGTTCCGAATATCTTAACTTAGCTAGCTCTCTAATAGATACATTTTTTATTTCATCTTCTTTGGGAATTACTGGGTGAGGAACAGCAAATTCATGAGAGGCATTATTTGATGTTTTGTTGTCAATCATAGCTTCAAGTTCTGCATCATCATTCTCTTCCAAATCTGCTAACAGCTCATCGGCTAAAGACATTATTTACAGTTTTGTTTTTACTTAGTAATAGGGAATAGTTTTATTTGAATAACTGGGAAACTACACAACTTTTCACTTAAATTGGAGTAGCAGGTTAAAAAATAGGCATCGGCTGTCAGATTGTCGGGTCCCTATAATGTACGACCCGATAATGCACGGCCCAATAATCCGTGTACAAACAAATCCCTTTGTTTGTACACGGATTATTGGG